CTTCAGAGGCCAGTTTTAAGAGACAACAGCACACCCCCCATCTCAAAAGTTTCTGCCTTGAATTACTGTGCGACCTCCTTACCTGCAAAAGACTCACATGTGGTGGGCTCAAAGACCAGCTCTGGGGCAGCCTCCATCAGCACCAAGGCCACCTCCAAGTTGTCATAGAGGGCTGCTATGTGCAGTGCCGTCTCCCCCAGGGCTCCTGGAGTGGAGTAAGACAGGAATGTTAGACACTTCCCAGGCTCCCTTGAGGAAGGGGCCTTAGGGTCCAGAGAGACCCTCCAAGGCCCCATTTCACAAGCTTAAAGTCCTGGGGAGGGGGGTAGGTGCTTCTGCCCCCACCTCCATCCCATGAAATCCAGATCCCACCTCTTTGTCGGAGGTCACAGGTGCGGTCCAGTAGAAGTTGCCTAAGGACAGACAGGTCATTTTCCTTGGCTGCTCGAAATAGTGGAGACTCTAGAATCCTGGGGCAAGGTAAACATGCGTTTGGAAGAGACAGTCAGAGCAGAACAAGGCCAAGAGCAAAGGGGATCTGAGACATTCTCTAAGACCAACGTGATGCACACAGTGTGCAGTGACACTGGAAAGAAGTGCCTACTGGACTCGAATGACCGAGGGTGGACTTGGGCAAGGCTCAGTCCCAGGGCCTTCCTTGCAATTCACATCATGGTGATTCTCCTGTGAGGGTGGGCCTTGAAGCTCTGCTGGAGGGGAAGAGTTCATGGAAGGGCCTAGAACAGGAGGGAAGAGAACTTGTGGTGTGGTCTGGAAAGAGTGGTCTGAGAGTCTCTGAGAAGAGGAGGACCCTAGGCGTGGCTGAATTCACCTAACCTGAGTAACTGTCTCAGATCCTGGATAGTTGAAGAGTGAGACGGAGGGCACTTCCCTCTGCGGTCCCCTGGCTCGCGGGACTGCCGGACCTGCTGCCTCTAACCAAGGGGAGTTTGGGGGAAAACAAAACAGAGAGGGAGGAGGAATGTACCGACTATTAGATCTTTCTTAGACCTTTTGAAATTTGTGAAATTCGTGAGCCACTGAAGTTCTGACGACTCCCTCAAGCTTTGTCTGTCTGAGAGAGTCTTGCTCTGTCGCCCAGTCTGGAGTGCAGTGGTGCGATCTCTGCTCACTGCAGTCTCCGCCTGCCAGGTTCAAGTAATTCTCATGCCTCAGTTTCCCGAGTAGCTGAGATTACAGGTGTCCACCACCATGCTTGGCTAATTTTTTGTATTTTTAGTAGAGACAGGCTTTTGCCAAGTTGGCCAGGCTGGTCTCAAACTCCTGAGCTTAGGCAATCCCCCTGCCTTGGCCTCCCAAAGTGCTGGGATTACACTGCACCTGGCCTCTTCAGCCTATTTCAATACAGGTCCCCACAGAAAGTGGAGAGTTGTGGTGTGAGGTAAGGGATATCTGTTTCTTCTGCATTATACCCTTAGATGCAAGGGTCTAAGCAGCTTGTTTATTTGGGTGTCTCAAGCAGGTTAAGATGTTCATTCTACAGGACTCTGTTAATCTTCGTTTCTATCATACCCAGATTTGAACCCAACAAGAGATAAAGCCGGAGCCTCTCCAACTAGACATATGCAAGTATTGGCCCCAATGGCAAATACAGAGTCTGGAGGGGAAGAACAGAAAGGACAGGCCAAGGAGTGGCTGCTCTGAGGTCCCCTACCTCCAAATTTCTCTCTTCCAATAGCCCCAGGAGCCAGAGTGAATAAGTGTTTTTATTTAAAGAAGTTTAATCTAAAGGTGGGGCCTGGGTTTCCGTGTTCGGGCAGCGCCCCTAGGAGGGGCCGTTGTGAGGAGTCAGTTCCCTGCCCCATCTCACCCAGGAAATCAGTCCCAGGGAGCCCAGTGTTCCAGACCAGCCCAGAGTGGTCAGGGCTGGCATTGTAAATTCACCCCCATCCTGTGGCCACTGCACAAAAAAGGTTCTTGCTTCTCTAGCCCTCTAGCCCCACTGCCTCTCTGCAGAGGGTCCAGGTTTGGGCTGGAAGCCCCCGTTCCCAGAGACCCAGGGGTCCCACTCTAAAGCAGGAAGCTCAAAGATTCCACTTCAGCAATGGGGTAGGGAGGTGAGGAAGCAGAGGGCTTGCCAGTATGAGGGCTCACAAGCACTTGGGACCAGGCCCAATGCAAACTGCAAATGCTGGGCCCCTTGTTCAAAATTAATAAGAATTTCAGGCTGGGCACGGTGGCTCACACCTGTAATCCCAGCACTTTGGGAGGCTGAGATGGGCAGATCACTTGAGGTCGGGAGTTCAAGACCAGTCTGACCAACATGGAGAAACCCTGGCTCTACTAAAAAAAAAATACAAAATTAGCCAGGCATGGTGGCACATGCCTGTAATCCCAGCTACTCAGAAAACTTGCTTGAACCCAGGAGGTTGCAGTAAGCTGAGATCACGTCATTGCACTCCAGACTGGGCAACCAGAGCGAAACTCTGTTTCAAAAAAAAAGAAAAAAAAAAGAATTTCAAGATAAGGACATCGAACCAAGCACAAGACTCTTCTGGAACACAGGGGAGCCCTTTGTGATTGCCAATGCTTGCTTACCAACCTAAATCCTCAAACAGCTCTTTTTGGAAAAGGAAAAGGGATGAAAGGCAGGTCCACAAAAGGCTAAAGGCAAAAGGCAAGCCCCAGAACCCCTGGAAGCAGAGGCTGCCTGCGGGATTCATCCCTGCCCCAGCTGCTCTTCCTGGAACTGGACCGTAGGGCTAAGCCATGAAATGATCTACCTGCAGGTGCGCTAGCCCTGCCAGCTCTGAGAGCTCTCCAGGAGCAGGCACGAGCCCCACTCAGTCTTTGCATCCTTGGGATCAAGCACCCCTCTGCACAAAGCAGACTCCATAAAAGGCAGATGGACTGAACTCAGCAACCTCCAGTGCCACCTGAGCAGCCCTCCTCAGCTGGTCAGCACCCAGGGATACACCAAACAAAGTTCACCCCTTTCCCACACAATCCTCTTTCATTCAAATGAGTGTCGATTCCTCATCGTTCTTCCGCCACTCACAGGAGTGCAACCCCCCTCCAGCAGCCTGCTTTTACCTGCTCTCTCCGTCCCACACACCCTGGCTTCTTCCCTCAGGCCCTTTTTGGTCTGCTCACTCCCCTTGCTGTCATTCTGCCTTTGTCCTTAGGTCTACTCTCAAGATTTTCCTGTGTGGCCCAAAGCCATATCCTCCACCACCACTAAAAGGAGCCAGCTGGGATTCTGTAATTGGTGGTGGTGGGCGTGGGGAGGGTTGCTGGAAGGAAAGGGTGTGTTCACGTGACTGGCGCTGAATTCTAGGGTGCTCTATCCAGGAAGCAGACCCAGGTGTGTCAGAGGGTCTGAGGATTGTGGCGGGAGGGACCTGGGTCCCGTGGGAAGCCTACCTCTTCTGCTGCAGCATGTGAAGCCTGTCCAGGTGCTGGTCCCAGTCTTGTTCTCTGACCAGAAAGGAAGGCAGAAGTTTCTGGAGTTGGCTCCCGGGCCCTTCTGCCTTGGGTAGAAAACCTCCCATGTCTTCTTTTTGCAGGCACTGGCAGATTTTAGAAATGTAGCAAAATAAACAGGTCTAGGATGACAGCAGTTGAGCCAGAGATGGGGTCTGTTTGGAGCTGGGACAGGAGTTTATTTCCCATGTGACTTGTGTATGCAGTGTGCAGCGTGTGTGTGTGTGTGTGTGTGTGTGCGCGTGCGCGCGCGCGCGTGCGTGTGTGCATGCAGTATGTGGGTTGTGAGGTGTGTGTGTGTGTGCACAGTGTGTGTCTGTTGGTGTGTGGGGGTGCAGTGTGTGGTTGTGAGGTGCTGTGTGTGCACGCAGGTGCACTGAGGAGACTGACCACCCTGCCTAGGGAGAAGTGCTTTTCCTGGAGGGGGAGGAGCTATTTGCAGAGCTGAGCCCCAGGGCCACAGAACCACCCAGGAGAAGAAAAGGAGGAGGGGAAGGTTCCTAACTGTGGACTGGGACTGCTGAGACCGGAGAAGCTGAGGGGTGGGGCAGAGGAGTTTGGAAAAGGAAAAGGGATGGAAGGCAGGTCCACAAACAAGGTGGGCAGATCATTGGATGAGGGAGAGGAGGAAGTAAAGATCTTCAGCTCAAGAGTCAGGCAGAGCCTGGTTCAAATCCTGACTCTTATCCCTTACAGTTAGGTGAGCTTTCTGATCCTCAGTTCCTAACCTGTGAAACTGGGGTAACAGCTATGCTGTCTCACGGGAGCATCTGGAAAGCATGTGTCACAAGCATGCAATCACTGCTGATCCTTGTTCCACAAGTGGGCTCAAGAGACCACCAGGCTGCTTCTCAGAGCTTCCCATTTATGTGTTTTGTGGTCATCTCCAGGGTTCCTGACCCCTCCTTCCCAGACCAACTGCTCCCTGTGAGAAGTCCTCATGACCTTGACCGGCCAACTTCCTGGAGTGTCTCTGAGCAGGTTCTCCTATACCTGGAGATACAAGTAAGAGGAGTCCCTGGTGACCCCGAGTTTCTATAGAGGTTGAACAGCAGAAACTGAGCAAAGGTAGATGACAAAGAAATCGTCATTCTATGTTTGGGACTCTTCAGGAATGAAATACCAAGAGGAATGAGTAATGTTGCGTTATTTTATTAAGTAGTTTCCCTTATCCACAGTTTCACTCTCTGAGTGTTCAGTTACCTAAAGTCAGCCACAGTTGGAAAATAGGTGAGTGCAGTACCATTTCGAGAGAGAGAAAGAGAACATTCACATAACCTTTATTACAGTATATTTATCATAATTATCTATTTTCTTTATTGTTGTTAAACTCTTTTTTTTTTTCAGACAGTTTCACTTTTGTCACCCAGACTGGAGTGGAATGACACAATCTTGGCTCACTGCAACCTCTGGCTCCCAGGTTCAAACTATTTTCCTGCCTCTGCCTCCTGAGTAGCTGAGATTACAGATGCCCACCACCACGCCTGGCTAATTTTTGTATTTTTAGTAGAGACAGGGTTTCACCATGTTGGTCAGGCGGGTCTCAAACTCCTGACCTCAGGTGATCCACCTGCCTCAGCCTCCCAAAGTGCTGGGATTACAGACGTGAGCCACCGCACCTGGCCTAAACTCTTAACTGTGCCTAATTTGCAAATTAAACTTCATCACATGTATGTATATGTATGTGTAGAGAGAAAGACGGTTTATACAGGGTTTGGCCCTATCCACAGTTCCGCAGTTCCTGGCCTCCACTGGAGGATGCTGGAATGTATCCCCTGAGGATAAGAGGAGGCCGCTGTATATGATAGCTCGTGTTGTATATGTTCTCATTGTTTTCAAAGATATACATCAATATTATTGAATTGTATTCACTCAATAGACCTATAGGTAAATGGGAACAAGGAAGAATTCTCTGTGTGAGAATTTGTGGATGTGCTGGCTCCAAGCCTCATGGTTAGTGGTGATATTGGAACTAGTTTTGAAGGTGGGATCTCAGCTCCAAACCGCTCTCCAGACCTTGCTGCTTCTTAGGAACCTTTTGGCTATAAAGATGTGAGAGGCCAGTGTGAGGACACACTGGGGGCCCTCCCTCTGGGAGTCTTGAGGAGTGGGGACTGCCCCCTTCTTTTGTTGCAAGAAAAAGAGATCTGCTCCAGAGATTGTCAGGATGGACAGAAACACCTTTAGAGAAGGACAAGAATTGCAAGGAAATTAAATAAGGGAAGTCACAGAAGCCAATATCCATTGATGTTTCAAAAAGGGGAAAATTTGGATCTTTTTCTTATTAAAAGCCAAAAGGAAAAGTTAAAAAAATATATATGGGGGAATTATGTTCTCACTGGGAGTAGGGAGGGCTCAACTTGTGAGACATTCTTCTGCCCCGCTGGGGGTGAGGGCCTTGTGGAGTGACTTCGAGTCTAAGGAGATGGAGGGAGAGATAAGGGTGAGGTGGGGGTTGTAGATGCCTTGATAAGCGAGGCACTCCAGGAAAGGAGCACCTGCCAAGGAAACTGCAACCCATAAAGCTGGTCCTGGACACGGGGGCGGGGGTAGGGGGCCGGCAGCGGCTGAGGCAGGGGAGGAGGCTGGCCCAGTCTGAGCTGCACAGAGCAGGTGTACAGGGACTTGCCGCCAAGGGCATTGTCTAGGGGTCTGGGGAAGAGAAAGGTGAGGCCCAGTGCTCAGGCCCCCTCATTCCTGGATCTTCATCTTCTCACTCTCCCTTCTCTGCTTACCTTGTCCTTCCCAATGGGAAGGGCATGGACAAGTAGCCTGGGTGAGGACCAAGGTGTCCCCCCGCCATCCCAGCTGGTAGATGAGAGATTTGGAGTCTCTCCTCGCCTTCTCTCCCTACTGTCACTTCCTTTTGTGGTATTCGACATCACCACTCTATTTTTTCTTTTCTCTCCTTTCTTTTCATGCCTCTCTCGGCATGCTGCAGGTGAGGACACCTGCACACTCTCCAGCTTCCCCGCCACTGATGTATGGTCCGTAATGTCTCCAGGCAGCAGGAGAACTGGGTTGCGGGCACCAAACTACACCATCAGGTCCCAGAAGCTTTCACACCAAAGCAGCCTGACCTCTTGTTCTAACATAATAAAGAGGAGGGGGAAACTTAATACCTGGATTTTCATTTTTCAGAATTATACTCCCAAACCACGTGGCCACAGCCATCTAGGAAAAGGTTTCAAATACTATACTTTAAAACCAATTGTGATTATCACTGGATGGTGGAATTATTAGCCTTTTTGGGGTTTGCATTTTTCTATATTTTATACTTTTGTAATAAGAAAAAAAAATGTTTAAGGGATTCCCTGTTTTCTGCAAGAATTTATCTCCTTCAACAGCACAGGGCCAGGTGGGTGGCGGTGGTGAGGAAATGGAAGTAAGGGACATCAGTGCCACTCAGTTATTTCCACTCAAGCCTGCCCAGGAGGCAGCTCTCACCCCAGCCACCCTCCCCATTCATTCCCACAGAGCTGGAGATGCATTCTCTTTTTTGCCAGGAAACCAAGAGGCTCCTCCCCCCAAATAGCCAGGAGGGAGGAGATTAGTGATGGTTTTTTCCATTCAAGCATTATTCTTTGGATCTCAGGTCAATGGGTTGAAGGTAGGAGTGAGCAGGGTCACCTGCCTACTTGAATCTTTCCTTACTCACCTTCAAGTGACCTCCTGTACCACTCCTCAGTCCCTCGTCATCTGGCTTGGACCATGGGGAAGAAAGTGTGTAAGAGACGATGGTGTGTGCCGTATGCAAGAGAGTGTCCACATGGGTGCGTCTCTTAACACCAGTAACCTCTGTGGGAAAGCACCTCCTTGTGTGTTACCTTTTCTGAAATTCTCTCTTGCAGAAAGGGTGCCTGTCTCCACAGTGTCCTTGGATCTGCATGTGGTGTTTCATTCAGGGCTGGTATGCATGGATGAGCAGGAGCAGCGTGAACTGGTTATGAAAGTGCAGGAGTGACTAAACTCTCCTCTTACCAGTCAGCATCCATCCTGCATCTCAGGGCATATGCCTCTGTTTCTGGTTTCCAAAAAAAGGCCTTCAGTCTGTCTCCCTAACTTACAACCTTCCATCCATCTCTGCCCAAGAAGCAGTTGGGGGTGACTACCCACATCCAGTTGCTGCCAACAGACCTGTGCTCGCCAGCCTCACGGGCAGGAGGCGCATCCAGGTCCTGAGGCAGGATTCTTCCACATCTGTTATTTGGGATTCTAGACTCCCTGCCACACTGTGGCTTCTCTGCAGACTCTTAACTCCTTCTGGCAAGCAATGGGATAGGAGATGAGCCGCTAACAACCTTTTCTTTCTGTGCAAGAGTGCAGAAAGGAGCCAGACGCGGTGGCTCATGCCTGTAATCCCAGCACTTTGGGAGGCCGAGGCGGGTGGATCATCTGAGGTTGGGAATTTGAGACCAGCCTGACCAACATAGAGAAATGCTGTCTCTACTAAAAATACAAAATTAGCCCGGTGTGGTGGCACACACCTGTAATCCCAGTTATTTGGAAGGCTGAGGGAGGAGAATTGCTTGAACTTGGGAGGCAGAGGTTGCAGTAAGCCAAGATTGCGCCAACCCACTCCTGCCTGGGTTATAAAGTGAGACTCTGTCTCAAAAAAAAAAGAGTACAGAAAGGTGTAAAATGAGAGAAGAGGGCGTTTCAGCCTGGTGGTACAAGAGGGCAAAGGCTAGAAAAGGGGGAAAACCAGGGGAGATGAAGAGAGGGTGGGAATGGGTTCTACTGGGTGCGGGCACCCTGCTCTTTGTCTCTCTGTTCACTCTCTTCATCTGTCTCTCTCCTCAGTGTCTATCTCTCTCTGTCTCTCGCTCTGTCTCTACCCTTCAGTTTCTGTCTTTGTCTCTGTCTGTCTCTGCCTATCTTTGTCTCTCTTTGTCTGTCTCTGTCTCTCTGTGTCTCTGTGTCTCTCACACACACACAGAGCCTGCGCCCTTGCTCACCCTCACCCTGCGCTCCTCCCCATCTTTATTTTCTGGCAGACCCATGCTTCATGTAAAGCAGCATGTTCACCCCATGACTTGAGAATCCTGGCTGGCACATCTGTTCTGAACCTCATCCTAGGCAAACTATTCTTCTGAAAGAAAGGCCGTGTGGAATAGTGGGAAAATATCATATTTTAAAATAAAAGTTAACCAAGTGTCCTTTTCTGCCCCTTAATATTTGGGTGATTTTGGGTGAGTCATTTTTTCAGTGAGTTTTAGTTTCCTCATGCATGTAATAAGTATGGCAACACTATGATTTTGCAGTCCTCGTTGCTACGTGGATCTAATGGATGTGAATGTACATTCCAAATTCTTAGGTCATTTCTGTTGCTAAATACAGGATGACCCACTGCGGTCATCTTGGAAGACTCTGCCATCCCTGCTGGCTGTGCTCCATTCTCATGCCTGGCAACGGAATGCTCTAGGGAGCTGGAGTGAAGGTCGGGCCTACGGTTGTGATGTCACAGAACATGTGAAGTCAGGGGTCCCATGGAAGGGAAGGGGAGAAAACAGCCCTTGAAAGGGATCAGGGCCAGGACAGGAATGGGGCAGGAGGTGCGGGTAGCCTGCTGGGCACTGGGAGCAGGGGGCGGCCAAAGGCAGTGGGTTGGCAGATCCATGCCTCCCCTGGCCCGCCAGCTCTGCAGGGCAGCATTCCTGGTTGCCATCTTGCTGCTGCTGCAGGTGAAGCCTGTGAAGGGGAGCCCAGGCCCCAAAGACAGGAGCCAGACAGAGAAAACAACCTTTGCTGGTAGGTAGAAAAAAAAGACGGGAGAGTCTGGAGGCTCAGGGTCAGGTCTGTGTGAGGCCGGGCCCAGGCCACTGATGAGGCTAGGGTGAGACCTGACCTGGGTCTGGGTTATGGGAGGAAACTCCAGCCCTGATTGTTACCGTGTGAAATAATAGTGTCAGGGCACACTATGGGCCAGCTGAACTTGCACGCAACCTCTGTGTGTGTAAGCGTGGTGCATTTGGCTGGCTTTTGTCATGCTTCAAGGTGATCCCTGACTCCCCCAGTGTTGAAACCCTAGAGGAGGGAGCTAGCCTTAGGAAGAGTGTATGTGTGTGTGTGTGTGTGTGTGTGTGTGTGTGTGTGTGTTTGACCTGTGGCTGTGGGCTGTGGTTGAACACGGATCAGAAAAAACCTCTAGAAAGAGCATCCACTGTCTGGTCAAGGTCAAGGATATGGGCAATTGGGCTGCAGCCCTGGGCTTTCCTATTCTAACTTCTCCTCTCTGGTTCAGGCCAGGGTCAGGGCTCAGTCCTCGTCCTTTTCCCCTGTTCCAGAGCAGAATCAAGAAGAGTTCGAAGAGCACTTTGTGGCCTCCTCAGTGGGGGAGATGTGGCAGGCGGTGGACATGGTCCAGCAAGAAGACGACGAGACGTCCGAGACGGCCGCTGTTCACCACCACCCTTTTCACCTCGGCTTCTGCTTTAGTCTGGCCAGCCTCACGGTTTCCTTGGGAGGGCCATTGAGGCTGCCAGTGAGTTAGCCTGTTTCCTGGATATCTACCTCTGCTTCACGCTCACTAGCTGACCCCCTCCCCCCACAGGCTCCAGCTCACAACTCCCAGAGGCGATGCAGGCATGGCTCTCTGCCTCTCATCACCATCACTGTACCTCAGGGTTCAGCAGGAGAGACACCAGTTGCCGGCAATGCCAACTGACTGCCTCCCTGGGCTCAGAGTTTCATCTCCCGGGACCAGAGACAGCAGACCCACGTCCTCCTCTCCCACAGCTCCCCTGCTTTTGTTCAGGACAGCAGATTAGCAGGAAGAGGCAATGACAATCAAATAGCAATAAAATCCTGAGAAAATTGGGAGCCGCTTTCCGACACTTAATCCCAGCCCTTCTCGTCTCTAACTAGACTGCTTTATTGTCCAATCTGTGGTCCACTGGGCGGAAACGCACCAGGTCACCAATTGTTGATTCTTTCCTTTTCTTGTGTCCATGAGATATTTTTGACATTTCTCCCTCTTCTCTGTTCTCACTTCGGAGTATTTTTCTCCCGCCTGGTTTCTGACTTCTAGGCATAAAACATAGCAGGAACAAGTCATTAAGAGACAAGCAGAAGCCAAGTGCCAGCTTTTATTTTTGGAACAGAAGCGGAAAGGAGATCTTGCTCTGATTCTGTGGACGTGACCAGGGCGGTGTCGGTCAATATTTCTGTGCTGTGGCATCTTTGGTAGCTGCGTTACCAGAGCTGGCAGCGGCTGGAGGGGTTCAAGAGGGCACCAGGTGGACAGCGGAAATGTCTAGCAAAGGCAGGGGTGCTGCTCAGGGGCCCGTGGACTCGGAGCTGCGGAGGGCTGTGAGTGTCGTGAGAGTCCTGGGGGCTGGGCTCCCTACACATCACCTGAGCAGGAAGAGAGGACATTGAAGGAGGAGGGTCCACAGGACAAGGCTGACCTGGTGATAAGAGGTGACCAGGGACAGCAGACAAAGAAGGGAACAGGGGATCAACTCCTCCAAGGGCCACATGGAGCATCAGAAATGTAAAGGCTGTTTAACCCTGTGACAGGAGTCCAGGAGGGCCTGGGCTGTGTGATGATATCATTTACCAGTGACCGGGAGGCGGGGTCTAGCCCAGGAGCTCTGGGGGGACGTCTAATCTAAGCGTGTTGAAGGCCTCGTGCCTGAGTCTGTTGAGGGGGCACAGGGTGCTTAAGGAGGTGATATCAAGTGGGCGCCACACTTAAGGTGAGGCGTCTGAAGAGGAACGTGGCACACAGTCAGCTTGTTACGGGCTCTTTTTTTCCTTGAGACTGAGTCTCGCTCGCTCTGCCACCCAGCCTAAAGTGCAGTGGCATGACCTTAGCTCACTACAACCTTCACTTCCCAGGTTCAAGTGATTCTTGTGCCTCAGCCTCCCAAGTGGCTGGGATTACAGGTACCTGCCACGATACCCGGCTAATTTTGTATTTTTAGTAGAGATGGGGGTTTCACCATGCTGACCAGGCTGCTTTTGAACTCCTGACCTCAAGTGATCCACCCACCTTGGCCTCCCAAAGTGCTGGGATTACAGGCGTGAGCCACTGTGCCCAGTCACAGGCTCATTTTTAAGACATCTGTATTTTGGGAGCATGAGAGAAGAAAAAGTTGGTCTCCTCTCCTGGAGGAACCTGGGAATAGAGATTTTTCTACATTTTGAATTGTGGGGGTGCTGAATTTGGTAGAAGAACCTGTAGTCATCTGGGTGGTGATTCCAAGAAGTAGGGAGGGATGAGAAAGGATGACAGTGAGGATGTCTGCGGCAGAGGGTCTGGGGTATTTGGGGGAGGGGTGTCTGAGGAGGGGAGTTTCATGAGCTTCCGGAATAAGGCGTTCATCTGACATAAAGCAAGTTGTGGCGGGAGGTGGCTGCCACCTACCTGGGCATAGCTTCGGAAGAAGATCTGCGGGGGGGTGAGGTCCAGGCTGGGCAGGACGGTCTCCCCATGGTGCCATAACAGCCTCTTGTTGTATGCCTGGGTAGGAGTGGGATGGAGAGGGGCCCTTAGGCTCTAGACCTGTGGCCATTTGAAAGTCCCTCCACACAGTAGCTGAACCCATGGCCCTGGCTCACTGGTTCTGCACTGACAAGTTGATCTGAGCCAGAAGGAAGAGTACTTCCCAGAAGACCTATAGATGTCCTAAAAACTGAGGATGGCTGGAATTGGGGGGTGATCCCCAAGTTGCCATCTGTTCAGGTGGATGTGAAGGGCAGAAAGCCATGTGACTGGACTCGCATAAGGAATGGTGGAAGGAAAACTCAAAGACATGTTTTCTAGTCTGCCAGTACATGTACGTAGCAGCCTCTGACACTGGCATACCTGCAGCGCAATGGCTAGCCCCCCAGCATCTGCAGCATTCTCCAACAACGTGAGGGAGTCATTGAAGGAGCTTCCTCTGGGCAATGGAAAGGCAGCATAATGGCGCTCTAGGCACAGGAGAGCTTCCTGGAGGGCATGAGTGTCACAGCCCAGGCAGCCCCCAGGCAGCACTGTTGAAAATGGGAAAAGAGAACACCCGGTTGAGGGTTGGTTGGTGCCGCAGAGATGAGGATGGTGGGGGGGGGGTACCACAGACTGACCCGGCTCCCAGGAGTATGGCAAAGTTTCCAAGACTGCCCCACCTCAAACCCTCAAATAACCTTCCTTTCCCTGCAGATCTCCCCTGTGGCCTTTCCTTGGGTTCCCTAGAATCCCACCTCCCAGTGGCCCCTGTTACCCACAGAGCTGGTAGAAGATGTGCAACAGCTCGTGGGCCATGATGCTGCCAGCAGCGCCAAAGTTCACGGCTCTGGGGAGATAAGAGCTTGTTTGATCCCCAGAATCTTTCAGCATTTTTGACCCCAATTCTCCAACCGTAACTCCCATCCATCCCAACAGCTGTCAGCCCCTCCTGGGAAACCCCCTGCCTACCCTCACAGAGTGACCCATACCTGGGGTAGCCAGGGTGGAAGAACGGGGGTTGGAGGAGTCCAGCTGGAAAAACTACCACATGGTCAGATGTCGAATAGTAAGCACTGACCTCCCAGGGGGACACTTGCCACCTGCGGGAAGAGCACATATGAATTGCAGCCCCCACCACGTATTGCCCTGCCACCCCGAGGCACACGCAGTCCCAACTACCATTACTGCTCGTGCTGCCTGCCCTGAGCCCTGCCTTCCTTTCCTGCCAATCATGGATGGGTCTGTCTGGGATGGAGCGCCCGAGTCTTCCCTGCTCTCATACCTGTGCGGAGGGAAAGGCCGCAAGAAGCTCTGGACAATTCTAGCTCGGAGGGACCGGACGCAGCTCAGGACAGACTGCAGGAAGCTGGGTCCAAGTTGTATCTGGGGAAGAGGCCGGAGGTGACTTGGGCACACAGAGACTTATACAGATGTGCGCTGACATACACCAGTGGGTCCATTTGACCCTAAACAGACAACCCTGATACACAGGCATCCAGAGATCAGGGGACAGCAGCCCAGTGGCATCACCACACAGCACACAGGCTTTACACATATCAGCACACAGATGAACATGCCCAGGCCAGTCACAGGATGCATGCATGCCTGTGGGCACACACATTGGGACCTGGGAAGATTCTGCTCTTCTGCCAGCAAGACCTATGGTGTGGATATCTCCCCATGAACACCAGCCAGCATCAGGGCAAGGACAGGGCTGAGTCACCCAGGGAAACTGATTGTCTGACAAAGACTCAGGAGGATCACAGAAGTGAGAAGTCAAGGACTGAGAAGGAGCTGGACAGCACAGGCACCCACATCGCTGTACTCTTGTTGGGCCAGCTCTGGCTTCAGGGTCCATTCCGAAGCCCCCATCTCCACCCGCAGTTGAGCGACCTGGAGAGAGACACAGAAGGGGGTAGGAATCCAGCTACTCTGAGTCTACCAGAGGGAATTTCTCCTGCTCGTTGCCCTGTCCCAGCCTCTCACATTGTTGCCAGGATGTGCACGCAGCACAGTGGCTTCCTTACTTAGTGTGTGCCGGGGAGGCCTTTGGCTCTTGCTTCCAGCCCCCGACTGGCTTGGTCCAATACTCCATTCCCCCAACAGGCTCCCACACCAGCCAGGACACCTGGCCTGACCTTGTCCTGGGCCATGTTCTGAGTCTCCTTATTCATCCAGGGAAGCTTTCTGAGGCGAGTGATCAGGGTATCTTGGATCACAGTGAATAATTCCATGGCCTGTGGGAGTGAGGTCCGGGGATAAGGGGACAGGATCAGGAGAGGTCTCAGCCTGGCCCTGCCCACAGCTTCTGACCCTTGGAAAAGGCTTTGGCCTCAAGGAGCTGCCCTTGCTGGAGCTGCAGCTAGAGAAGAGGCAAGAGCTCAGAAAGAGATGTGGAAAGGATCATTCCTAGATGGCCATAAACCTCCAGCGGGCAGAGGATCGGTGGAGAGAGGAGGGCAGTGCCAAGCCCACCACGGGAAGATGGGGCTGGCCATCCGTGAGGCCATGAGGGAGATAGTTCCTTTCCGTGGGGAAATAGCCTGATGCAGGAGAAAGACGGTGTTCTTACTCCTGGGGGCAGGAACACCTCTCAGAAAGCAGAAGGAGGAGAGGGCTGTCATTTTCTTCTCTGGCTCAGGGCTCTTGTCCTCACACTTTCTTTTTTAAAGCGTCCACTCCCTCTCCCCATCCTCCTGAGCTCTTCAGCTTCCCAGCAAGTCTCCCCAGCTTCACAACCTGAGTGTGTAGTCACTGCTTCCCCAGCCACCTACCACCTCATGGAAATCCTTCCTTGGAGGAAAATGAAAGGCATTATCAAGAGCTTGTGCTCTGGCATCGGAATGCCTGAGTTCAAATCCTGTCTCTGCTTTTTGGTAACTGTGTGTGACCTTGGGCAAGTCACTTAACCTGTTTTTGCTTCAGTTCTCTCTTCTACAAAATCAGAATCATAGGAACTAAATAAAGTAGCTCATGCAAAGTGCTTGAGGGAGTCCCACGTGGTAGGTACTCAGGAAGTTTTCAGTGGTGATTTATTTGCCCTCTTCGAGATTATGTCATCCCATTCTGATGTCATGTCATGTGTTGTTAAAAAAAATCTTAGATATCACAGGGAGGAGGCTTAGAGATCATAGTGTTTGATTTTCTCATCTGATGGTTGAAGAAATGCAAGACGGGGAATGTTGGGTGACTTGTCCAAGTGACAGTATGCTCTCAAGACTTCATGTCCAGAAGCTGAACTGTTTCCACCACAGGGATGGAGCAGGTCTTTGGGTTCCCTCTCTCAGTGGCCCTTCTCTCTCTGACTGCCCGATTCCCCAACCACACATACCACTGAGAAAGGCAAAGTTCATAGAATGAGGGCAGGCTGGGTTGGGTGGGAAGGGGTGGAGGGATGTGGGCTGGGAAGAGCTCTCACATACAGCACTTCGGGTGCTCGGGCCAAAGGCCTCATGAACAAACAAAGCTGCCAGCGTGGGCTGGAAGAAGGTGCCGGTCTCCTCCACGCACTTCATCCATCGCGGGCGGGCAGGCTATGGAGACAAAGCTAGAATGAGTGGTCCCATTCAGAGCTCTTCCGCATTTGTCTCCCCAGTCTTCACTAGATCTTCATTCCCAGAGGGTGCTCTTTTGACCAGACCTTCTGGGTTTCATTTTACATTACTATCCCTTAGGGTGACACACATCACCGCTCAGTACAAAAGAACATCTTCATTCAGAACTGATCTCATGAGCCTGGTTAAGCAAATCTTTCATGCTATTGCCTATTGAGTTTGACAGCAAGGCCTCTAGGAGGCATCATTCTGGGGGACCAAAAGGCTACTGGAAAGAAGATGAGAACCCAAACCTCATACTTCAGCAGTCTTATGTTCCCCCTGTTCACCTCCGAACACTCTATTCTGGGGTCCAGCAATGACTCCCATCCTCCATGCTTCTTTGCTCAAAATGGAGATTGGAGATGGAAATTCTGTCCTTTACCATCACCCTTACCCTCTCTCCAGGCGGGCACTGTGTATCATACTGTAGCCTCTTATAAAGAAGAAAATTGTCAGAGTAGAACCAGGTTTTAGGATTTTAGATGCCATATTGTTAGCTTGGAGAAGAGGACACAAGACAAGACTAAGTGCATAAGTTCAGAGAGCTAGAAGACTTCCGACCAAATCAGAGGAGAGAATAGAATGGGAAGGTGGAGGGCTTTTGCTGCAGAGGCAGGGAGCCGTGGACAAACATCCAAGAGGGCAGTGCCAGCTGAGGACCTCGAGAATGAGAAATATAAGAGACAGGTGCTGAGAAGGTCTTGGCTATGGGCTTGAATGGCTTTTATGACCTGACAAAGGAGTAAACCCAGAGATGACACGGGGTGGATGAAGACGCACACTCGAGGACCCCAGGGACAGGAGGAGGTAGCTGGCCTAAGGGAAAGCTGAGCTGGAACTGATACAAAACAGCTAATATGCTAATTTGGGTTAGGCAGGATCAAGCCTCAAAACTTTATTCCTGTGATTTGTTTACTTCCCAAAGATCTGCCCACAGGGAAGGTAGGAAGGCTGCCACTGCTACTCTCTCTGCAGGACCTGCAGGAGCTAGGCTGGTCCTGGGGATGGAGGGAGTTTACGGACATCCCACTAGAGGAAACAGAACAAGTCAGTCTGGTTAGTCACTGAAGAAACTCCTGAACCCACCAGTTGAAGAGGGTATCATTTTGGAGGTAGCTGCAGGCCTGGCTGCCCACATTTGTGTTCAATTGCACCTTGAGGTCTGCTAACCTTGTCTTTTTTGTGTGTGTGTAACAGAGTCTTGCTCTGTGACCCAGATTGGAGTACACTGGTGGGATCTTGGCTCACTGCAACCTCCACCTCCTGGCTCAAGTGAGTCTCCTGCTTCAGTCTCCCAAGTAGCTGGGATTGCAAGTGTGTATCTCCCGAGATGGAGTTTTGCCACGTTGGCCAGGCTGGCCTCAAATTCCTGGGCTCAAGCGATCCACCCGCCTTGGCCTCCTAAAGTGCTGGGATTACCGGCATGAGCCACCACACTTGACCAACCTTGTTTCTTATAAAGAGAAGAGGCTCAGATTCTTCTCATGCTGTGTTAGTTGGAGCTCTGAAACACAAATGCGAGGAGCAAACAGGAACTGAAAGGAAATCTGGATCTGAAAGCAATTATGGGGCCAAGTTGAGAGTCTGCCGGCCACATTCTGCTGAATAACCTTGGCCCCAGGAATACCTCTTATCAGACAGTTGTTACACCTGGAGGAGCAACCAGCATCAGCAAGGAGCCCACTTGAGCTTGGAGGTGTGGATCGGCCTGCCCTTTTCACCCCTCCTGGTTCTTGATTTGTTTCCTGATGCCCTTTGCTGGAGGCTGATCATTTCTCCTACGTGCCTTGCCTTGGGACCTGACTACCAGAGGTGGCAAACGCCACCTCAGACCACTACAGCTGTCTCTCGAGATGTGGAATGGTAGTGCATACCACACTGTCTGCAAAGGGAGAGCTAGAGAGGGGGTGGGAGAGAATTAGAATTACAAAAGAAAGTCTCCAAAATATAAACAATAGAAGAAATACTTCAAACCCAAGTTAATGAAACTCAGTGGACTCATTTTAGGGCACCAAAGAAAGTTGCATGTATAACCTCAGAACCACAAATAATATTTGAGGAATGATAGAAACCAGGACAAATTCTAAGAGTCTGGAGGGAAGCAAAAAATTGACCCAACTTCTATAGGATTAGGATGAAAGGAAATTTTAGGGATTACAGGCCAACCAGGAATCTTTAATGTTAATTTCTAAACACAATTGTAGAACGAATCATTAAACAGTTTTTGAACACTTGGAAAATAATGTGTAAATGCTAAGAGCTAGGATAGAATCAATGAAGAAAAATAATGCCAAAATAATAAAAATTCCTTTGGTTAAAAGGCTTATGAAACTAGGTGTATGATAGGCCAGAAGCCACAGACTTCATCCAATAGGGGCCATGCAGAAGCATAACAGAGAATTGCAATGCAACATCAGAGCCACGGGGCACGGTGGGGCTACAGCCTCCTGGAGAGCACACCCAGCTCGAATCGAGCTATGCCATGTAGTGACAGTCACTTGTCACCACAGGAGAAGGCTAGCCCAGTGCTTCCCAAGCTTCACAGACACACAGATGCGCGCGCGCGCGCGCACACACACACACACACACACACACACACACACACACACACAACACACACAGGCTGGAAACCTGAATACTGGCATGTCATATCTGAATTTTTGAATGTTGGAGATTAATTCAAAGTTTGCAAAAGACTCTACAGGCTAATGAAACACATCTAGAGACAAAATTCATCCTCAAGCACCACTACCATCCTACCGCTGAATAGAGTATTAGTACTTACTAAGCTTGAGTTATTAACTTAAACCCCTGCGCTTCCACTACACCAGCTGTCAAAATGAAAACAATACCTAGCCTACTTTCCTCAAAGGTTTGGGATCAGGGGAAGTAATACCCTAAGTACTCTACGGCACTACCCCACTCTGTTGGCATTATCTTGGTTTTGCAAGGCTTGGAAAACACACAGATTGAGTCCTAGTGAATTAGAGAAACTGATGATGAATGATAGTGCAATTTGGGTGGAGTCGCATCCGGCTGCAACATAGGTAAACACAATGGTGAATGATTTCAAGCTAACTTGACCTCCCCTGACATTCTTACTAAGAATTCTAATTAATCCTTGCTTAGCATTTCTTTTTCTCATTTCCTGTTTTGCTTTTCTTCATAACACCACCTAACATATTTTATTATTTTGTTAGTTTATTGTCTTTCTTCCTTCACCAGGACATGTGGCTGAAGGCAGGGTTATTTATTTGACTGTTTTGTTCACTGCTGCATTCCAAGTGCCTAGAGAAGTACCTGGAATACAGTAGGTGCTCAATAAATGTTTGTTACATAAATGAATGGATAAATCTGTAGCTAGGTCTTCAAAAACCTGACCCGATGTCCTTCTCCCTTCAGGATCTTTTAACAGTGGTCTGGATGAAGACACACTGAATAAAACTGCAAATGATCCAAAGTGGGAAGACCTGAATAAATTGAGATGCTGGGCTGAATATAAATCATTCACATTTAATCATCACAAATGTGAACTTCTGCTGTTACTTCTCAAAACCCATCTTCCCAAGTTTCATAAAAGAAAACCTGACTTAACAGCCATTTTCATTGACTGTAACTCTATTCAAAATTAATCATCCAAAGATGGTCCAATAATGAGATTTAGAAATCTTTCTGTATAAAGGCACTATAAATTTATAATTCATTCAGAAGAATATGATCAGAAGTCGGTAATTAATGGCCACTGCATAGAACCAAACATCTTGATCATATCAAGGCCAACCTCTAGGTGATGTCTTTGATTCCATTCTTCCTCTTAAACATCACTCATCATCAGGCTATCTCGTTGCTAACCTTAAAATATGTTCTTTTAAAACATAAATGAGATAAATTCCTCTGCATGTCCCTATTTATTTATTTAGATGGAGTCTTGCCCTGTTGCCCAGGCTGGAGAGCAATGGTGGGATCTCAGCTTACTGCAACCTCTGCCTCCTGGGTTCAAACAATTCTCCTGCCTCAGCTTCCCGAATAGCTGAGATTACAGGTACATGCCACCACACCCAGCTAAGTTTTGTATTTTTAGTAGAGACGGGGTTTCGCCATGTTGGTCAGGCTGGTCTTGAACTTCTGACCTCATGATCCATCCACCTTGGACTCCCAAAGTGCTGGGATTACAGGCGTGAGCCACCACACCCAAACTTGCATGTCCCTATTTCATACAGACAGAAGCAAAGGTCCTTACAGTGGCCCACCTGACTCCTAGGATTACAGGAGTGAACCACCGCTCCCTGCCAGCCTTCTGCATTTTTTAAGCCTGAGCCCCAACATGAGCACTCTACAGCCTCCAGGAAGTGCCATGAAGCCATGGTACTGACATTTATAGGTAGCTGTATGGTTCTCTCCCTCCCGCTCTGATTCCCTCCCCACTATTGTCAGAGTCACTCTGCTCTAGGTGACCTGGCTTCCTTGCTGATAATCAAACACCACGAGCACGCTCCAGGGGCATCAGTGGACGCTGCCTGCCTTGCAAGCCTAGTCTTCTCCTCCCAGCCAAAGCCACCAGGAGGATCCCTCACCCTGCACCAAGTTTTACCCAGCCTCCCTCCTGCCCTGTCCTCATGAGATGATGCCTCTTTCTTTGCCAGAAAACTCCTTCCTCTCTCTAGACATTTTGCCAGTTCTGCCTACTGCAGAGAGATGCTACTGATCCTTCAAATGCTCCCTGATCTCTCCCTCTTGGGAACTCCAAGAATATCTGCTGTCTAAACCAGGATCCCCTGGGAACACAGCCATATGCATCCATTTACTTCGGTTACAGCTGTTTTTGCACTACAGGGACAGAGCTGAGTAGCCGTAACGCCAACCATTTATGGATCACAAAGTCAATATTTCTATCTTGCCCTTTACAAACAAGTTTTCTAACCTTCATTTGTAGCACCTACTTATTTCTCAATCCTGTACACTGTGTGGTTAAAAACATGACTTTATGAGCCAAAACATCTGTTTTGGAGTCTGTTCATTTACTTGTGAGCTGTGTGGTGTTGGGAAAGTTTCTGGACCTTTCCGAGCCTATTTCTGCAGCTGCAAAATGGGGATTAAAAACTGCGAAGTGTTTTTGGAAGGTTTAAATGAAATAACCTGCACTAAGTGCTAACAGACAATGACTACCCCATGTGTATCAGCTGTCATCATTATTATTAAGTGTCATATTTTATACTGTTGTTCCAGAAAGGGGAAGTGGCTTCCCCAAGGTTACACAACTATTTGTTGTCACAGATTAATTCAGCTTTTAAGCCTAAGGACAATTATGTGCCCTAGTGGAAAAGCTAACGGCTTCAGGACATCTAAGCCTTCTGCATTCTTTTTTTTGTTTTTTGAGATGGAGTTTCACTCTTGTCACCCAGGCTGGAGTGTAGTGGCATAATCTCAGCTCACTGCAACCTCCACCTCCCAAGTGAAAGTGATTCTCCTGCCTCTGGCTCCTGAGTAGCTAAGATTACAGGCACCGACCACCACGCCTGGCTAATTTTTTGTATTTTTAGTAGAGATGGGATTTCGCCATGTTGAGTAAGCTGGTCTCGAACTCCTGACCTCAGGATCCACCCGTCTTGGCCTCCCAAAGTGCTGGGATTACAGGTGTGAACCACTGTGCCTGGCCAGCCTTCTGCATTCTTTAAGCCTGAGCCTCAACATGAGCACTTTACAGCCTCCAAGAAGTGCCATGAGGCCATAGTGCTGACATTTACAGGTAGCTGTTTGTTGTCAGGGATTTTGTAGCAATCCCAACCAAGAAAACTTGGGGCTCTGGTCTGCTTCACCTGAATCAAGACAAAAGCTGGGCAGAAGCTTCTTGGGGACTCTACAACCCAAGTGGCGCTCCTCAGGAGGACTGCATTTTTAGCACAATGAGTAAACAACACAGATCCTGGAGCCAGACTGCCAGGGTTCAAATCCTCACTCTATTAACTTACCATCATACCTGAGCAATTTCCTTAACTTTAGCGCCTCTGTTTCCGCATCTTTAAAATAGGAACAAAAAGGTACTTCGTGGAATTATAAAGATTAAATCAGCTGATAGATCTAAAGGATTTCAAAAGTGTCTAGTACATTATAAGCCCTTGATAAGCAGTAACTACATTCCAGTCCCTGTGAATACCTTTTCCTTCTCTGAATTCCACAGCAATTTTAGGTTGGCAAAGCAGAGTTTCTCCAAGGCAGAGAAATGGCCCCCAAATGTGGGTCAAGATGGACAGGGGGAGGCCCATGTTAATTCTAGCTAAATAATTATAAGCTTGCTTGGCTCAGAGCACACTGAAGTTTATACACTGAACTAAACTATATCATTGGTGCAGTTAATTAGAAATCAAGCGGCAACAGGAGGCCTAAGGTAAAGACCACCCGAGAGCACAGTAACACCGGGGAACACCTCGGGGTGGTTGCAGAGCAGGTAATACTGCTCTTGTCCCACGAATGCCTTCTCAACATGGAGACTGCAGGAGGGCCTTGTAAAGAGGGCTTATGCAAAGATCTCTGAGAAGGGAGGTGACCTCTACTCACAAGATCTGGGAGGGTCTTTGCAGATGCGAGCTGGCATGGAGGTGAAAAGCCTTGCAGGGAAGAGATCACGGAACAGCTCAGGCTCTGCCTAGGTTCTCGGAATATGGAGTGATTTTAATTGCTCCACGTCCTCAATGCTCTGGAGATAAAAGCCCCTGCATTGGGTGTGGTCAGACCAGGTGGCTACTCATCCGCTACATTTCCAATGCAGCCGCACCCTGATAACAATCGGGGATAAACTCTGAGTACTAGTTTAGCACGCCTTAGAAGGATCTCAAGTGCTCTCTGCCCAGCTGTCTTACCTACCCCTTTACCCTCCCCTTCCACGCCCATAAGATCAATGAGATTATGCACATAATAAAAAGTGTCTGGAGCCCAGAGCTCGGGGCCAACGCGTTTCCCACGCTTGTGTTGGTCCCCTGGATCCATGCTGTAACTTCTACTCTTGTGTCTGTCTTTATTTCCTTTTCTCAATCCCTCGTCACCGCGGGGACTAAGGGCACCCACGTATGGGATTGGGGCTGGTACCCAACATCACTACTAAGATAAAAAAATCCAGTGATTTTTAAGACTAAACTAAGGCCTTCAACTTACAGAGTTAAACTGATGTGTGCATGCAGCAGTTCAGAAACCCTTTCTGTGGAGAATCTAAAAACAGACATTTCCAGCCAAATCCAGGCATATGAGAAATAGCAGTAAGACTGCATCTAAAACACAGAAGAAACGTATCTTTGAAACTGCTCTGCCGTGTGTTCGTTCACCTTAGGGAGTTGCATCTATGTTTAGATTCAGCAAGTTAGAAACACCTTTCTTCTAGGAGCAGCGTTTGGATATTCCAGAGTGAATGGGAGTATATGCTGTAATGAGAAATATCTGGCTCTAAAACGAAAACGGAGCTATCTAATGGAATGGTTGTCAATGTGTGCTTTCAACTTACAGAGTTAAACTGATGTGTGTATGCTGCAGTTCAGAAATCCTTTCTGTGGAGAATCTAAAAACAGGCATTTTCAGCCAAATCCAGGCATGTAAGAAATAGCTGGGACATATCCAATATACTAGACTCTTCTGCTTACATTTGGATATATCCAACTTGGGATTTCAAGATTCTTCGCAAAGGAGCATCTCTGCATCTTACGTAATAAGTAGACTCTGGTTAGTGAAATGCATTTTCTACCCAGGCCCCTCCTCTGATATATCCACATCTGTGCCATGAAGCCTACATGTGGCCCAGTGGACCACACTGGATGTCAGAGATCAACTCTTTGTGAAGCACATTTGAACATGAAATCAACTCGACAGAAGACAGACCACTGCTTAACATATTTCTCTCTCATCCCAACACGTCGTTAAGTTCTATGTCCAAGTTATCCTGAGCAAATAGTGTAAGGGTTATGACAAAGAAAGGGCAGTTCTTGATAATTTCAGAGTTTTATATTTGAGCTCAAACACCCAGCAAGAAGCCAGAGAGGTGGTCAGTCTGGGAGACGTGTGCCTGAAGGTCTGGCATGTAGGATCTTGGTTTTCAAGTTAAACTTTGTCTGTCCAACTTGCCTGCTTCTATGGAAAGCCAAGACATGTGGGGGCATCTACTATCATGCCCCCTCCCTCCCTGAGACAGAGATGCCAACATTTACTCCTCAAAAGAGTAGATGCTCCTTTCGAGTATCTGGGCAAATACAGTCCCCCCTCTTCTCACCATGGCTGATTGCTCTGTCAGTTCCCGCAGTTTCTGGCTGAGCTTTCTGCGTGCCTCCTGGAATCGACTATCCAGGGCTGGAGAAAGGGTCCCCACCAGCCCTAAGATCATGTGGCTCTGCAGAAAGTCCCTATGGAGACAAAAGAGACCGACACATATACCCCACGAATCTGGAGATGCCTCACAAAAAGCCTCCCTTGTATAAGTCGCCTTGACACTCCTCAAGGCAGCCCTTTCTCCTCTGTATTAGTAACTGTTTTAACATGCACCCAAGCCGGAAAGAGCTTTTTGTGGTGTGGGTTGGGGTGGGATCTTGCTCCTTAGTAAAAGGAACTAGATGAAGAGGCAGCCTTCAAAATCACAGGGAAAGGAAGCTCTGGGCTAGATGAAGTCTGGATTCATGTCATGAAACAGATTTTACTTCCACAGTCAGGAAATCTCAGGTTATCCTCAGACGTGTCTCATAAGCATAAGTAAGCTGGGCTCTGTGACTCCTCTCTACTCTACCAGCAATGCTCCGACCTGGGCTGCATTGCACCCTTATGTGAGTCTGCTCACTCTCTGCGAATGGGCAGTTACCTCCCTCAAAAGGAATTTCTAGAGGCTGATGCCATCATGAAGAAGGGTCTTGGGTCCAAACCCTTCGAAGAAAGGCACTACTTTCAGGTGGTAGCCACCCAGGGATCAGGGGATGCAGAGAACCCAATAAAAAGCCACACTTTCATGTCCCCAAACCCAACCCCTCCTTGAGTTCCTGATACCAGCAGAAATGCTTAGACACTATTTCCCTAAGAGCTCCAGAATCCTCACACCACACCTGAGGAATGGCCCCTCCTCTTGCTTTCTTCCCCTAAGCATCCCCAGCCTTCACCACCTTCATCTCCTCTCTTATGTGCCTCCTCCTCCTGCCCACAGTCCTTAGCTGCTAAAAAGACATACATGCACTCAACTGGCCTCTGTGTCTGGGTCTTCCAGCATCTTCTACAGCTCAGAGGCTCTTTACTGGCTGGTGTTCTACTCTCAGCATACCCTATGTCTTGGCTGACCCTACATTCTTCATGTCGTGTGTATCCTTCCTTACCCATGCTCCCCAAGACACATCCTTCTCTATCCCTCCATTCTCTCTGTGCCACCCACCCCATGCTTCTCTGCCACCACAGGTAGCAAGTTCCTCTTATCTTCTCAGGAGTCCCTTACCAGCCTGCCTCCCCAAGGTCTCCTTTGCCCCTGAGACCTACGGTGCTCAGGCTCTCCTCCCTTTCCATGATCTCCCCAATCCCACCTGGGCGAACCTGTCCTTTAGCAGCAGATCCTCCACCAGCTGTGACATGTTTTTCAAATACTCCAGGTCATGGACCATGAGTAACTGAGAGGGGCTCAGGGACATCGGTGTGAATGTCGCTTGCAAGCAGGACAACCAGTCGACGGCAGGAGCCATTTCCTTAGAGGAGGGACACAAAGCTGAGGGGGGATAGGAAAAGAGAAGAGAAGGAAGGGGAAAAGGCTTCCCTTTGGGTGTGAGAAAAAGAAGGGAAGGAGCTGACTGGGGAAGGGGATGGAGCCAGAGACAGGATGAAAAGGAATTAAGGGCACTAGGATGAAGGAGAAGAGGGGGTAATATTTGGGAGGGAGGTCCCCATGCCCACAGTCTTCTGGTTCCCAGTTCCAGGCACCTTGAGCTGGTCGATAGTGACCATCTGGAAGAGCTTGCCCTGTGCCCGCCGCTGCTCCAGGGGTCTCAGAAACTGGAACAGCTGCGAAGTGATGGAGATGGACAAGGAGGCATGTTGTTGCACCTTGTTTGGGTCTCCTCCCAGCAGGGTTCCCAGTCGACTCAGGTAAGTCAGGTATTCCCGATAGATCTGGAGGAAGGAAACATGAGTCACGGGTGCCAGAGGCCCCTGCCTTTCTCCTGGTGTCAGAGGGCAGGGCCTTTGTCCATGCACCATCTTACCTGGGCATAGATCTTCTGTTCCTGATCTTGCTTGAGGGGAACATCAAATTCTGGCTGGTCTATCTGGACACAAGAGAGACTGGAGAGAAGCAGGGAGCATGGGGGATGGAGAGGGAAGGTGTGGGGAGGTGGGGAATATACCATGGGAGATGGCCTTGGGAGATCGACATAAAGATTGAACAGAGGAGAAGCAAGAGTACAAAGAAAGGGATGGATTAGCGGTTGAGGGGCAGGAGAAGAAGAGCCCAGGTGTGAAAATGGGAAGGGATGGTGAGTATTACAACCAGTGTGGGTGTGCCCAGCAAGGCAGAAGCATAATAATCAGCATCCTAAAAGGAGCTATTCCTCATATCGGGGTCAGGGCCAGGGCAAGTGAGGTATGGAACCTGTCCCACGTACAAAATCTAAGAGGTACCAAAAAAACTCAGTAATCAAACTTCAACCTAACTTTGGAGTATATTCTTCTAATAGGTAGCTCCATCTCAGCCAGCCATAGCAGCTGAGCTTCAGCCGACCACAGGCTGCCAAGTGATCAGACCATGCCCATTAAAGGCAACACCTGTAACCATCAAGCTGTTTCTGGGTGTCACTTCCTCTTCTTGTACATACTGCCTGCCTACATTGTTGGGTGGAGCTCTCTGAACCTCTCTGCTTCAGGATGCTTCCCGATTCATGAATCATTCTTTGCACAAATAAACTCTTTTAAAAAATTCAGTAATTAAGATAAATATTTAAGATTTTTTAAAATAAAAATTACTACCAAAATTGTGTGATAAATAAAATCTCAAAACTTTGCTTATCATGGACTTTTTTTCCTAGAAAAAAATACACAATGTACTTTTAGTCAATTTCAAAAAGAATCATGATGTGTTCAAGAAAAGTCCTCAATGTATTTTTGATTCATTTTGAAAAAAAAAATCACTAGTATTTTTTTAAATATTCACATAGAATTTTGTCCCATTTTGGGGGGAAAAAGCATATTTTTTTTTAAATAAATTCATAATGAAGAAAAATTTGATATTTGGTTCGTCACAGATTGTTGCATTGATTTTGATGTTTTAGGAATATTTATTAAAATACTACAGTATTTATCATCATACTGAGTTTTGTGGACCTTTTTAAATTAGCACCCAGGCAAGCACCCTGTATATTTCACCTTAGTCTTGCCCTGATGAGCCCTTGATTCTATTCTGAAGATCTTTGCTTCTACTCTTCCTTTTCTTCTCCAATTTTAATGTCCCACTCTTATCTTGGCCCATATACTTTTCCTCCATCTTGAAAAAACCTTTCACTTGACTCTTGCTCCATTGTATGTCCAAAGTTCAAAGAATAAAAAGGCATCTATGTCCATTGTTTCCACTCTCTTACCTTCCTCCTAAGTTCTGTACAGTCTGTGTCCACTTCTGTAACTGTTTTGAAAGTATCTCTAGGTTTCCAAAGGTGTCTTCTCATTCCTTGTTCTCTGAGCTGACCCCTCCTTCCTGAAGCTCCTTTTTTTTTCTTTGTGGCCCACCATACTGGTCTAGCTCCCATCTCTCCAACTGTACTCACTCTTCTCTGGCTCCCTTCTGCCCTCTGTCTTTAGAGTTCTTCTTCTGTAGTCCATTCTTCCTACCTGTTTTTAACCCAAGACACTATCCAGACTCACACTGATGATAACCATCTTCCTCCCATTAATACTAAATCGAAACAATGGGATCATAGTGTAATCCCCCACTTTCTTTATATCCAATCAGTCACCAAATCCTCTATGAACACCATGGACTATCATCACTAGAGTGAAGTATCCTAAATCCTTGTGCCTGGCTCTTCCTTTCCATTTCTTCCACTATCTCAGGGCCTCAAAAATGCTCATTTAGTTTCCTCAGCACCCCCAGATTGACCTTCAAAACTGCTGACTTTATGCACAACCATCAAAATATTTGCTCTATGCACAGTTACCATAACAGTTGGATGTCCTCAGTATCTTTTTAAAAAATCATTATGTCAAATGTTATCACCTCTGCCTATCTTCTTAGAAAGAATCAGACTCAACCTTATGTCTTCAGCTTCACTTTTACCTCCTCCTACACCCCACCCTTCCTTCCAAATCCTCAATTAAATAGACCAGCCTCCTCATTGACTCCACAGAGGAATCACAGCATTCCAGGTTCTTCCCCTAGCTCAGGATTTCCAATGTCCCTTAGCTTCACCTCCTCCTGTGTGATTAATCATGCTTCAAGGCTGGCTTAGCTCACCTTCTCTCATTCTCTCCTCTCTGAGCCTTTCCTTAACCAGTTAACCAGTCCCCAAAAGCCACATCAGTTAAACTCCTGAGCACACTGTTTAGAACTAAATTTTAGAATACCTCATAATGATAACCGAGTCTTCTTTTGTATTTGTCCTCTGATAATTTTGTAGCTCTTTTGACAGTAGGGTTCAAATATACAGATAGCATTACATTGTTTAACCACAATAGCGATAGATTCAATGTTTTTCTTTAGTTACTCACTCAACAAATACCTGGCAAAAGCCTCTAGCTGCCCGGCTCCGTGCTAAGTCCTGAGGAACAAAGGTGAATAAAGCACGATCCTGTTCTGAGGAAGCTCATGTAACACAGAGTGATACATGCTGAGAGTATGAGGAAATGAGAGGAGGGAGAGATGGGCTTCACCTAACTCCTAACTAGGGTGTTGGTGAAGACTTCCTGGAAGAGATAATAAAGCCAACATTTGAAAAACATGTAAGTTTTCCAGGTTGAGTGTGAGGGATGGTTGCAGGCACAGAGAGCAGCATATGTAAAGAACTGAGGAATATTCCTGGAACTAGCAGTGAGTCAGCCTGGCTGGGGGGTAAGGGAGAGAAGGAATGTACAGGAGATAAGCTGGAAAAGTATGTAGGGGTCAGATCACAAGGTGCTTGCAAAGCTTTACTAAAGATTAGGGACAAGATTCTGATGACCTGGCAAGCCACTGGGTCACTGACAAGCACTTAAACACAGACAGTAGCATAGTCAGTTAGCCCTTGGTTCAGAAAAGTTCCCTCTGGTAAAAATAAAGAGTAAATAAAATGAGGGCAATCCTAGAGATAGGAGAGCTAGCTAAGGGGCTCTGAGATTAATACAGATTAAGTAAGAAAGACCAGGCCTACTTCCATCCTTCCAGCACTGCGGCTCCGTCTCCCATCCCCAGCTAATGTCCCTGACTTTCATATCAGTAATTTCTCCTAAGGTAGGGTTGTTTCCTATATCACACATGTGTCTTATCTCCCCAACCTGCAACCTTCCTCTGAGGGATGATTGGCTAGAGATGGAGGCAGGTCAGGTCCTACAGCGTCCTCACCAGTACATCCCTCACCTGGATGACTGGTGTGTGCGGAAAGGCAGGATGAGGTCCCAGGTAGGCTCTGAAGAAAGGGAAATGGCCATACTGACTCATCAGAAGTCTCAACGTTCGGTTAAAGTTTAAGGAAGTCCAGTTACCAGAGATGCGCCAGCCTCCAAGCTTTAAAGGAGAGAGAGGGGGCTGAGCATAAGAATCGGTGGGGCCCATCCCCCATTGTCTTGATCTCCTTTTATGCAGCTGCTACTGCCTGACCTCTGGTCTGACCCCTTTGATTCCTCTAGGGTGCCACATCTATTCTTGTTTCTCTGACTTATTCCAAGGTCCTGATACTTTCAGAGGGCGTAACCATTTTCTTTTCTTTCTTTACTTTTTTTTTTTAAGACGGGGTTTCACCATAATGGCCAGGCTGGTCTTGAACTCCTGATCTCAGGTGATCCACCCATCTCGGCCTCCCAAAGTGCTAGGATTACAGGCGTGAGCCATCGCGCCTGGCTGACATAATCATTTTCATCTCCATCTCCCTCCTAGAACTTGGGGAGCCTTAGGAAGAAGACCCACCCTCTAGAAAAAAAATGGCAGCCCCAAGCACACATTGGTCCCATACGTGATGTATCCAGAAAAGTTAATATTCCAACTTTTCTCACCTCCTCAATAACTTGTCTGAGGGGACCAGCCCCCGCAGCTTCAATGGCACGTGTATCCATGCAGGAGTTGTAGAACTGGAAGGCTTTCTCCTCCCCAGAGCCTGGGTGCCGGGAATTCTGGGCCTCTAGAAAGGAAGCATGGGAGTGAGGACTAAACTCTGATATTTTTATCTTGCCCAAATTCCTATATAAGGGATCTGGGGAGTCATGCCCTACAAATCCTGTGTAATCTTATGATTTTATTTAACCCTATGTAACATGATTTACTTTCCAACCTGATTCTGGCATAACATTAAGAGATGAAGAAGAAAATCAAAATACTTTATCCCAAACCATATTTCTTTGCCATATTTTGAAATGGCCCTGCAAAGCTGTTCTTTGTAGGGGAAAATGTGCATCTGTAAAGAATCTCTATTAACATAGCTAGATCTTTCGATTAACTAAAATCTGAAGAGGAGACGTTTGTCACCAGTTGTCTCTAAGGGCAGCCACTCTCCACAATCTTTATCTTAACCTCAACATTCCCTTTCTGTCTATCCCAGATCTTTAGACAAACCTAACCAATTGTCAAACAGGAAATGTTTAAGTTCACCTACAGCCTGGAAGCCACCCCCGCCCCTTAGAGTTGTTCTACCTTTCTGAACCAAACCAATGTATTTCTTAAATGTATTTGATTGATGTTTCATGCCTCTCTAAAATGTATAATAATAAACCAAACTGTGCCCCCACCACCTTGGGCACATGTTCTCAGCATCTCCAGAAGGCGGTTTCACAGGCCATGGTCACTCATATTTGGCTCAGAATAAATCTTTTCAAATATTTTACAGAGTTTGACTCTTTTCATCTGCAGGAGAATAAAAGGGGTGGCAACTGGTATAGTGGCAGACAGGGAGGGTGGGAGACAGGAAATTTACAGGAAAGACAGACTCACACAGAATATGGGAGGAGGGGGAGGAATAGAGATGAGGAAAATAAGAAAGATGAGAGGAATGCCCAATTTGGAATGGATCAACTTGATGAAAAGATGACAGCAGGGAGAGGGAAAGTGGGGAAGAAGACGCTATGGAAAATGAAAGAAATGTGGGGCAAGAAAAACAAGAAGGAAAGACGTGAAAGAAAGGAGAAAGCAGTAAGTGGGATATGAGCAAAGGAGAAAAGGCAGAAATGAAGGCAGGAAAGAAATGATTGAAGAAATTGGAGAAATTCAGGGAACTAGAGAACTTTAAGGAGTTGGAGAGAAGAAAACTCATAAGGAAAGGTTTAGCAGAGAAGAAACAGGGATGGACTCCCCTAGTCCGGACTCCTCATCCACTGATCCCAGGAAACAAACACACATATTAGAATAATCAAATGCAAGTCTCTCTGAATCATCCACCCTCTGATACCTAACACTCTTTCAATCCTCAGTCCCCCTAATATCTGTTCATCCCATTGTAGGCAATAGAATTTATCCTGAGCGTGTTTTTTCTTGTTATCTCTGTGCCTTCCCTGAAAGTATCCATCTACCCAAAGAGAGTCCACCTCCCACTCTTTCCCCATCAAAAACAGAGAGCAGAGGGATGCATTTATTTTTCCCAGATTCCAATGGACAGTGCCAACACATTCTTTAGGTTCCCTTGCACTGGAAATGCATGCCTATCTTATATGTTCTTATTCCCAAACCCTCACCAGCATCCACCAACTTCCTGGGCCCCACTTCCAACCTCCTGCACAGTTTCAGTTCCTCCACTGGTTTTCCTGTCAGTCCTGGCAGCTTTCCTCTGCAGCCTTCATCTGCAGGAACTTTACTTCCACTGCCAATTAACTCAGCTCTCCTCTTCTTCCAGCATATCCTTTGGGCTTCCCCATTTTTTCTCTTCTGCACAGTGATGAAGTGCTCTCTCATTTGTGACCCCACCACCCTACCTCTTTCATTCTACCATCATCCCTCACCTCCAGTCATCCATCTCTATGATCCTACTTCTTCCAGGCCACCTTGCTTGGCACGGTCCAATGTTATGATGGAGAAGCAAGAAGCAAGAGATCATTGTGAGAGGGGGGAGCTGCGGCATGGTGAGAGGGAGAGGGTAATATGCACAAGGAGGCATCGGGAGACTAGCGGTTTCGGAGGTGAGAGAACAAGACTGACAGAGAAAAGAATTAAAATGCAGGAGGTGCTGAGAAGATGCTGCTGGAGGAAACCACTATGCATGGGATAGAAGCTGAACATTTGGAGGAAGCAACAAAGATGGAGCTTGCTGAAAGGGACAAGCTGGAGAAAATGGATTAATTATGGATGTATGGAGAAGGAAAGAAGATGGAAAAAGACAAAATGCAGACAGAGACCAAGAGAAATGGAAGAAGGGTACCTAAGGTGGCAGGAAACAGTGAGAGAGGAGCAAACCCAGATAGCGCCCACTAACCTACCTCATTTATTCCCCCATCATCTCCAATCATCCATCCCTATTATCCCACCTGGAACTACACAGGGTTTGGGGTCACCCGCTTGCACAGAGTATCTTCCACCCTGCTTCACTCACCCAGGATTCTCCGAAGTCGGTTTTTGTTCCTTTTGGCAAGCTCCTGAAAAGAATTATTGGTCCCTTTGGCCCTTCCACAGGCAAAGCTGAAGAAGTCGGTGCAGGGGGCCACACTGGTATTCCCAGAGGCCAGATAATGATCGCGGAGGTCCAAACACACAGATGTCTCACAGGGGCCTGTGGGGAAAAGCTCAGAGCTGGGAAAGGAGGGAAAGAGACCAGGGCTCCCCCAAGGGGCTAGGCAAAGAACATCAGGTGAGCAACTAACGGAGGAGCTGGTGAAACGGAAATGGTTAGGCTGCAGGGAGGAGGAAGCACCATGGGGACCCCAAGGGTCAAGGTGAGTTTCATGAAGTCCCAGGAGCAGGGACTGGGCACCAGGGTTGGGGGAGGGCTGACTAGGTTAGGGGGTCTGGGAGCTTACTTACGAGGGCCACAGTTCCGGAAGATGTAGAACAAAAGCACAGAAGAACAAAGGAGCAGGCCCAAAAGCAGGATAGCTGTCAGCACCCGCCTGGCCACTGCCCATGGCCTGCTCCCTTCCACAGGCAGCCTCTCTTCTGGAGAGATCTATGGGAGGAACCAAGAGGTGAAAGATACAAGGTAGAGGATTGAGAGACAGGGATGGGTAGAAGAGGAGAGGAGGGGAGAGAGAATGAATCTGTTAGTGCCACAGTCCCTTTATACAGAAATAATTCTCCCAAGTCTTTCTAAAGCCAGTCCACTTTAATGCCTGGGAGATGAGAAAACAAGGAATATCAGCTGTTTTGGATGAGGACGAAGCAGACCATTATGGGATGAGTGTTTGTGTGAATTTAGAGCCTAGAGTGACAACATCAGTGTTTTCCAGCCCCAGGAGAGGAGGCCACTTACTTCCTGGCTCCAGAGATTCCCCATTCCACCTGCCTGGTTGGGTTCCCTGGGCTCTTCCTCACTTTGGTCCCCCCACTCCTGAAGTGAGTGGAGGGAGAAGGAGGAGAGAGAAGCTGGTTCAGGAAGCAGTGCATTAAAGAGAGTTTTATCAGGTCACTTTGATACCCCCTCTGCCCGCCCTGCCCCCACACACATATTTTTATATTGGGACTCTGTTCCCAGATGGGTTTCAGAATGAACCTGTCCATTGGATGTGCCATTTTTCACTCCCTCTCACATGACCTCCCTCTCTCTCCTGCTTTCTACTCTGTAAGCCTCACAGTCCGTCCCCTCCAGTGGGGACGGGACATTTGCATACAGCCACCCTTACCCCCCACCCTAGGCCTCCAACTCCAAAAGGGGACTTACCATCTGTCTGTCCTCTGTGGCCACAGAATCCTGCCTGATTCCACTCTAGGTGCTGATTCGGAGAACTGGGGTTCCAGGAAACGGTCCCCCTTCTGCCCCCACCCCACAGAAGGGGCACTTCTGCTGCTCTTTCCCCTGTCCCCAGACACACCGGACTGGCCTCTGGGTGGAGACTGCTTATCAGTGGAGGGCACCCAGGCTTCTCCTCCCCCTTTATCTCAGCTTCTCAGGAGAGCTGATGAAGGGAGTCTTCACTTCCCAAGCAATCTTGCCCTTGGTCTCCTCTTGTCTTGCACTGTGACTTTGCCCATGAAGTTCCTTTATTTCTAAAACATTCTTCCTTCTCTCGTTTCTTCTGTATATTAAAAAAAATAATGAGGCACGGTAAAATTTTAGAGTTTGAGTAAGAAGCAATTCATGAATTGGGGAGCACCAGACCGACAACGATTTAGTGCTGCAACAACAAAATGTCAGAGGCATGCATTTACTGGGAAGTTATAGAAGCAAAATAAAACATTATTTGATTGCTTTGCAGTTGTGTAATTGCCTTTTTTAAGGTAACTTTTTGGAAAGTTCTTAGTCAGATAATCATATGTTAGTTAGCTCCTTATCATTGGCTGGGGTTAAGTTTTACTTCTATCATAAGCATTTATCAGAAATGACCCAAGTGAAGCTTCACTTCTGTTTGTAGTTTTAGCAAGAATACGGCAATTTTTAAGGTCCTTGGTTTTGTTTGCCTGGGAATGTTCAGGCCCAGTCCCCATTTTAATTTTGTTTTCACACCTGTCTGATCGGTTTCTCTGGGATTCATCAATTCCCAGGTCAAAAGCCACCTTTCCCAGGAGGCCTCCCAGCTCCATGCCCATTCACAATGTTCCCAAGCATGCTTAATTGTTTCTCTCGGTGTTTCATAGCTCTGCTGGCTGCTGGCAGAGTCATGCATTTGAAAGATCACCCAGCTAGGAGACCCTAATCTGCTAATTATTAGCTCTGTGACAATAAACAAGCCACTTAAACTCTGAGGCAGGTAAGCAAGTTTTGTCATCTGGAAAATGAAGGTAATACTTGCCTATGCCTACCTCATAGGGTCTCATGCTTTCTACAAAACAAAACAAGGCTTTACTGAGCCCTTCTTTCTTTCATTCTGCTTTCTGTTACACTGGTAGCTTGCCTCTTCATCTCCTTATTGATTGAAATGCTGTCATGGCAGGTACAGTGTCTGGTTTTCATTCCTGCCCACCCAAGATAATTTCTAAATGTTAATAGAAATAAACTGCATTCCAAGCCGGAAATGCTCTTCCTCACATCCTGTTAAGCCCTTACCTGTGGTCTCAGTGAGGCAAGCACATTTCTGGGGGAAGGTATTTCAACTCTGTCCCTTGTTTCCCCATCCCAGGAAAAAAAAAATGTAATTTATTAGGATAGTCTTGTAAATGATTCCCTGGCGATATTTCCAGATTCCATGAGCACTGTGCTAGGGCCATGGTGTACTTGCTGGATGACGGTGAGTGTGGAGAAGTGGAATAAAGCCATTCTGCCCCCTGGGGCCAGATGGTTGGGGTGTCATGAAAGTCATAAAGAAAAGTCAGAACTTCATACATTAGAAAAGAAAGCATTGGGGAAAATAAAGCTTTTGAGGAAAGGTGTGACAAGACACAATAATATCTAAGAAGCACTGGTGTGGTATTGGGGATCCGGACTGATTGGATAAAAGACAAGAAACAGAGTGCTTAGCTTGGTGTTGGAGGAATGATGAAGATAGGGCCCAGCCCAGGGGGATGGCAGAGGGGAGGGAAGTGCGTAGAAAGAAAAATTGTATGGAATAAAGTCATGGCAATGGACTGAGTGGAGGAGGGGTCTATCATACAGCCACAGAGGAGCTCCACGTTGCATTTCTGCATAACTAGGGGAATAGTGATGCCAGTGATAGAAACAATGGAATTATGGTTAAGGGTGGGGGTAGGAATCAGTGTGAGGGGAAAATGATGACTCAGGATTCTAGAGGTGTTTGGTCTGTGTGGGTACATCCTGATGGTGCCTCCTTTGCAAACTTCACTTCACCAGAAAGTCCAACACTCTACCCATGGGCTTTTAGTTCCTTCACATATATTCCCTTCCTCACACCTTTTCTACCAATCAAATCCTCTGAGCTGATGTTTCCTTAGGAAAATGATAATGTAGAGCACTTAGATTAGATAAGAGAAAGTTGAAAAAGGAATGTGCTATGTGACATTACCCTATGGACAGCGCCACAGCCTAGACTCAGATTCTCTCCCTGTCAGAGAAGCTGAGCCACCCACAGGGATGAGGCAGCACAGCTATCAGGTTCACCAATCCCTACTCAGCTGCCTCCTGAAGGCAAAGCAACGTCCATCCTGGGAGCTGTCTCAGGAGCATGGCTTCCTCTTATCACCCAAGTCCTACTCCATGCTGAGTCATCACCAGCGCAGTCATACCTGGTCATGGGAGTGCAGCAGCCTCCACTCAGATCTAAGCACAGAGAAGAGGTGTGTTAACAGCTGGGGCACATGGACCACATTTATCTTTGTGGACACTGCCTCCTGCTTGCCTTAATTCTCCTGTCTGTCTATTCTAATTCCAGGAGCTTTTGTTGGATGTCATAAGAGTATCAAATAAAATACTGGTAATAATAAAAATAACCACTTTTTACTGAGTACCTCCTTTGTGCTAGGAATGTGCTAAATGTTTTGCTTCTATGTTGTCCTTCAATCTTTACAGAAATTTTGTGAGGAAAATAAGAACTATTTTTAATAGAGACGAGGTTTCACCATATTGGCCAGGCTGGTGTTAAACTTCTGACCTCGTGATTTACCCACCTGGGCCTCCCAAAGTGCTGGGATTGCAGGTGTGAGCCACTGCGCCAGCCTGTTTTTGGTATTCTGTACGTGTCACTTTTTTTCTTCCCAGTCCAACAGGTGTTGAAGGCAGTACTCTGAACACAGAGACTCTAATAAGTTGTGTCAATTCAATGTACGTTTCCTCAAGAAAATTTACATAAGCTCTTGCTAAAACCAAGGTCTGAGTCAAATACTACCATAATAATTGTTTGTGACAAACCACCCAAAACTCAATAGTTAGAGAAACAAGCATTTATTCTTATGTTTAAACGTCTCACTTGGAACAATGAGAAACAAAAGGTTAGGACAAGCTGTGTGGTTCTCCCTCTGTGAACACAAGAAATATGATTAAGGGGTTAGGAAACATACCAGTTACTTATTGCTCCATAATAAACAACCCTTTATTTGGTGTCTTAAAAAAATTATTCTCTCCTTTCTATGGATTGGCAAATTAGGAACAGCTGAAGTATCCTCTGTGCTCCTTTGTGTTTGTTTTCACATAACAGGCCAGTTCAGGGCTACCTATTCCAGCATGGTCTCACTCACATGGTTCATGGCTGACTGAGGCTGTTGGCCAAGGTGCCTCAGATCTCCTCCATGGGGGCCTCTAGCAGGCTAGCTTGGGCTAGTTCCCATGGCAGCTGCATTCTAAGAGAGCAAGAGTAAATGCTGCAAGTCTCTGGAGACTTAGGCTTCGAAGCTCTACAGTATCACTTCTGTCATATTCTATTTGTCAATGCAAGTCCCAAGGCCAGCTGAGATTAAAATAAACTCCACCACTTGAGGGGAGGATTTGCAAATAATTTGCAGTCATGTTTAATATGCCACAGGAGGAAGACAGTTTTTCTGTGAAGCAACCTATCATGAAGAGATCACTGAACCAGGAGTTGAAAAACTTGATTTTCAGTCCTACATTAGTTTTAAACTAGCTGGGTAATATTTACCTATTTTTTCATCTCGATAAAATCTAGCACTGAAAATCTATGTTTCTAGGTTTCTGGTATGGTATCTATTTCTTTCGAGGGGCCTTTAACATCCTGAGTCTTCCAAAGTCTCTTAAGTTTAAGGTCAGAGCATTAGTATCAGTGTATGGTAACTGATTCTCTCCCCGTTAAAGATGACCATAGATGAAAGAAGGAACTATCTAAATCCACTAACCCAGTCCTGAAAGTGCTGGCCAAGATGTAAGCAGAGGGTCAGAGTAGCTACTGAGACTCTTCCTTAGGAGGCACGTGGTATTTTTCCATTGCCTTGGCGTGATTTGCTGTTGCTGTTGCTGTTTTGTTTGGCCCTTCCTCTATTCTGCTGCCCAGAAGGAAGATGTTTCCTTCTAGGAAGCTAAGCTTGACAAGAAGGAGGTTCACACTTGCGGGAACTGTTAGGCTCTTGAGCTGGAAGGAACCCAGCGTCTAGGTGCTGTGGACATTGTGGAGAAAAGTGGCTATATTGGCTCTGGACTGCATCTCTACAAACTTTTACATATAAGAAAATAATCGTTTTCTTTAGGCTACTGTTCTTTCTTTCTAGTACTTAAAACAACTTTACTACTACTAATAGATAAATAGTAATACCTAAGATAAATGAGGTTTGACAATGTCTACCTACTCAGTGTTGTTAGGTACAGATGACCATGTTGTAAACTGTACAACTTTAAGGACTGACAATTACATAAACTAAAATGTGCATGGTTTTCTACAGGGTTGAGCCACACAACCCGTACCTAACAACTAGTATGATGTGGAAAGAGGAAGTTGATCTCATACTAATGTGTTGTTCCTACACTTCGTGTTGGTTTACTCAGAGGCCTCAATATTCTTGCTGAAGTTATTCAACTTGTGTTATTGTTTTCTTTTTTCTTTTCTTTCTTTTTTTTTCTTATACACAGGGTCTTGTTCTGTCACCCAGGCTGGAGTGTAGTGGTGCAATCTTGGCTTACTGCAGCCTCCACCTCCTGGCTGTACAACCTTAAATTGTCCCCTTTGTTTTGAGATGGGGTCTCACTCTGTCACTTGGGCTGCAGTGCAGTGGCATGGTCACAGCTCACTGCATCCTTGATCTCCCGGGCTCAAACAATCCTTCCACCTCAGCCCCATCAAGTAGCTGAGACTACAGGTACACACCACCACACCAGGCTAAATTTTTGTTTACTTTGTAGAGACCAGCTCCCACTATGGTGTCTAGGGTGATCTTGAACTCTTGGGCTCAAATGATCCACCTACCTTAGCTTCCCAAAGTGCTGAGATTACAGGAATGAGCCCCTGTACCTGGCCACTTTTAGAAGTCTAAAACAGTTGGAACCCTCCCAAGAAAACAGAAATAGCTCTAGGTATTTCAGAGAAAACTTAATACATCTAACTAGATACATAGATAATAGAGTAACTGAGAAGTTAAATGGGTGGGGGAGGGAAAATGAGGCAGCCCTAAAATTATCAGCAGAAAAAAGCCACTACAAATCTTTAGTTTAGAGGAACAAAGAGAAGGGTGTTATCAGAGCCTAGGAGTTGTACCACCTACAGAAGATGGACCATTCTGGA